AACTTTATCAGAAATCAATTGTACTATATGTTAGAATGGTTTAATAAATGTAAATTTTATAGATACTCATTCATTTTTATTAATATAATCATTAAAACTTAAATAAAATAGTTGTGGTAAATCAAGTTGTGTTAATGTAATTAAATTGTCTACCTTATAACGTTTGCTTTATAATTTAGTTTCATAAGTAAATGAAAAATAATTTGATCTTAAAATAAATGATTATTTATGTAAATACAATTAAGCATATGAAGGTACTTGCTTGTAGATTAAAAATATTAAGACTTTAATTTAACAATCTATATTTGAACATAATTATGCAAATGCTTCTGGAGGATCAATTAAAGTTATTGGTAATGAAATATTTTATCTTGTTCAAAGTCTCATTTATAACAATACTGCAAAATATGGAGGAGGATTAGAAATAGAAGATTAAATGAGTTAAAATATGACTAGATTTGGATCTATTGTTGCAAATAATAAAGCTGAATTATTTGGTAATGATTCTTCTTAAGTTCCATCTTAATTATCAATTACTATTAATTTAATAGATATTCTACCTAGATTTACAGTATTAGAATAAGAAAATCTATTAATTTAATAGATTTTAATAAAACCATATTAAGTATTTACAAATGAATATTCAGATGCATTTTATGTACCTAATGGATAACAAATATCTTAATATTAATACTTTGATTGGAATAAAGGTGAATATGTGCCTTATAATTTACATTTTAGAATAGTTGCATTAGATAAATTGAATTCAATTTAATAAGATTTAGAGAGTACTTACTGTGATATTAGTGGAAGATTACTTATGGAAAGTGGTGAGAATGAATTCACTTAGAATTTTACTAATATAAAAAGAATAGAATTCAATAAAAGCGATTATAATTTAGATAATTTAATTATCTATTTAGATGATCAACTTAATAAAACTTTATAATTGTAATTTTAATGTAATTCTATTTATATACCAATTTATGATCAGAATAAAGAAATTGTTAGTTATCACAATAATTATTATTTAAGAATCAATCTTAAAACATTACCTTGTTAAATGGGAGAAATCAAAAGTTTAGTAGATTCTACTTGTGTACCTTGCAATGTTGAATAAGGTTAATATTCTCTTGGTATTAATTCAAATACATGTCTATACAAGGATGATGCTACTACAAGTGACATTAAATCAGCCTAATTAAAATTAAAAGCTGGATATTGGAGACCTTATTTTTATACTAATGAAATAAGTGAATGTATCAATTTAATTGAAAATTGTCTTGGAGGATGGAAAGAAGGAGATACCTCATGTTATGAAGGTCATATTGGAGCATTATGTGAAGAATGTGATATTTACAATATTCGAGGCTAAGGAAATTTTTTTAAAATTACTTAAGATTCAACATGTGCTGAGTGTTAAGATAGTAAATTAAATATCATTATAACAATAATCTTTGGTTCTTTATGGTATATATATTTTATTCGATTTAGGTCAATTTTTTAAATTATTATGACATTAAGAAGTATTGATTAATCTAATTAATTATTTTCTAAATTAAAATTGAGATATAGACTTAGTAAAATCCTTTTTAAATTAGATTAAGGTATTATGATTGTTTAATTTAATAGATCATCAAAGTATTTTAATAAAAATGTTTATCAATTATTTATGGATTTTTGCTCTTATTTTTACATTTAATATATAGTTTCCCATTTTTTTTGGTTTTGTAGATAAAACTAGTAATCCATCAATTTTTCTGGCTACTAGTGTTGAATGTTATACTGCTGAAATACAAAATATCTAAATAATCTATTCAAGAATTGTTTTATTATTGATATTACAATTAAAACTATTCCTTATAATATATGGAGGATATAAGATTAGCTCTTTAACAAATAATAAAATATTCAACAATAGCATTTTATCTAATACAGCAATCTACCTTTATATCTCAAATTATGCTGAATTTGCTAAACAGTATAAATGTATTAATTTATTAGATTTACATCCTTATTATCCAAAAGAAAAATTTCGAACATTGATTTTGTTTAAGGTGATGTATCATTAGAGTATGAAACTTATACCCATTAATAATGGATTATGTCATTTGTTATTCCAGGATACATCATTATTTGTTTTTTAGTACCTTTTCTATTTTTCATATTTTTATTTATACTGAAAAATAAGTTAGATGAAATCAAATTAAGAAAACACATATGCTATGTTTTTAATGAATACAAATAAGAGAATTATTATTGGGAATTTATAAAAATTATGTAAAAAATTATTATGATTTTTATCATAATATACTTCGAAACGAATATCTATTTAAAAGGATCTTTATTAGGTTTATGTCTTTTACTTTATCAGGCATTCGCTTTGAAATTTAAGCCATACATAATTCTAAAGTTCAATAATCTAGATTTATAAACTTCTTAGATTTGTTCAATATCAATTTTTATAGCAATAGGAAAATATGCGAGCTAATAACAAAATAACTTTAATTGGTCAGTAATGCTTTAATTCTTCATTATTCTTCTTTGGATGAAGTTATGCTATCCCTTTATAAAGAATATCTTATTAGCGTATTTTAAAATTTATAAAATAAATTTATTAACTTCTATTCATCATATTATTAAGCATTGCCTTCCAAATAATTATTTGACTAAATTTTGTAAAAGAAAACTGATCTATTATGAGAAAAAGTAATTACAAATCAATTAGAATTTTTAGAAGTTGAAATAATATTTATTTTCTCAAACATCTGTAAAGAGAAAGAAACTTCTTAAGAATATATTATTATTTAGAGGATCTCACAATAAATAAGTCCTAGAGCTTTAGAGACTGAAACTTTGAGATTCACAGATTCAATAATATTAAATTAAATATGATAGGTTTTTAATATATACACTCAAAATCAATTATAAAACAAATTATTATGTCTTTATTCTTGATTCAAAATATTGAAATTATTGAGATCCAATTATTTTTCTCATTATCTACAATTGTAGCCATTATAATGTATTTTATATCAGAATTTCCTTAGAGTAATTCTTCCTTAAATTAAAACAAAATTAATCACTAATGACCATTTTATTTTTGACAACTTTCTTATTCTATAATTTTTCAAATTTTCATATGTTGACAAAGAGATTAATTAATAGGATTCTTTTTTCGTTAACTTTGAACTTTAATATATTAGATAACTATGTTTATAGGCCATTTTAGAATTAAAAAAACCTAAATCTTAAGAATTAAGGCTGGCAATCCATATCATATAATATTAACATTTTCAAATTTGATTTTGATTTATAAATTAAATTGTTTTTACTTCAACATATATACCTACAAAATTTTAGTAGTTAAATGTAACATTGTTACTAAATGATCATTATTAGATTGGAATGATTTTTTTAATTAATTTACTCTATAAGTTATCAAACTAAATTAAGATGTAAATGAATAAAATTATCACCAAAAGAAAGGAATTCAAAAATAAATAGATTCATTATGGAGCCTGCCTAAATTCACAAATAATGACTTTATTATTTTCCAAACCTATTGTGGAAGTGATTATCATTGATTGATATTTATTATAATTTGACTGTTGAAACATCATATTGTAGAAAATTCATTAAATTGGTTATTTCTTTTAAAAAGAATTTCTAATTTCTTGATAATTATCCCATACATAAATAGAATTAATTTAGTTTTTATTTACATATTCTACCTTAATGCAAAACAAATAATTTTTCTTTAGACTACCGATTTTAACTTCTAGTGTTTAGAATTTATATCAATTTTTTCCCAATAGTAACTGTTCTCAATAAGCCTTTAACATAAAGTATGCACATCATTTGGATGGAGAGCTTCTATATGAATACTTCAAAATTATTAAATTACTATAATTTAAACACTTACTAAAACAATTATGGTCTTCGTATAATTAATTAATTCGTATAGTATAAGTAAGGCTTGGATTAGTAGTTAGAAGGTCTGAGGTTATCTGTCTTCTTAATTTAGAGTTAATTAATGTACATAATTTATATTTTTCAAATATTTATCGCTTAGAATTTTGAAATATATCATGAAAAATATTTTAACTCAAAAAATATCAGCTTATTTTAGCATACTTAAATTAGAAAAATTAAAAATTACGAAAATAACAATCTAAGAACAAATTTAATCAATGAGTCAGCATTTATTGGGATTTTATTGAAAAAAAAAATTACCTTTCTCTGCATCAAGCTCATTTTTATCAATAAAAATCAATTGATTGTAATCCCAAAATATTTAATAAAATGAAAATTTCAAAGAAAAATTAAAGCATTCAAAAATTTTTAATTTTGGATTAATTAATTGTTGATAATACTTGAATTATACTTCTATCACAGTTTTAACTTCAAAAGTTTATAATAATCTAATTTAAATTACCTTCTATTTGGATTTAATTAATTATGAGGAGATAAAATATAATTATTTAATCTTCTCTAAAATATATTAATATATATAGGAATAATTATTTTCACCAATAAATATTGAGAAGCATTTTTCGGTGAAAACAATTTACCAATTTCACTAATAAATATTCAATTTAAATGCATTGGTGAAAATAATTATTACTTTTTCACCAATATATATTAATATATTTGAGGGAAGATCAAATAAATATATTGATATATCAAGGTTGATTTAAAGAATATTCCAATTTAAAATTGGTTGAGTATAATTATTACCTATCAATTAGGAATCATATAAATATATCTTGAAATTTAAGAATTTATTACAATTACTACATAAAAACAAGTCATGATATTGGTATGAAAAAATGAATTAGATGCTATCAAAGAAGTTCTAAAATCATTTCCCTTCTTGATGATTAATTCTAATTTATGAATTGGATATAATCTAATATTATTCGTAATTAACTTACTTTTATTATAAATAAAAACTCACCATTTTTTACATATCAAAACTATTTTGCTTTCTTAGTTTTAAGTCATCTCAAATCTATTCTTTTGCTAACTTCAGAAAACTTAAAAATAAATCTTTGAAATTATTGAATAAAATATTTAGAGGCTCACATAAAATAGTAAATTTTGATTAATTTATACTGTTATTTAGAGTAAAAAATAAATTTTAAATTTAATATAATAAAGTGTCATTAATCGATTAAAAAATTAAATTTTAGTATTTCAAAACTAATAATTTAATATTGAAATGAATAATTTTAATTATAATAATTCTATATTTTATATTAAATGTATTTTGAGAGTTAGATGACAAAATTAACGTAACTAATTTTTGTAATTAAACAGTACAAAAATATGATTATTTTTAATTTTTATCTTAATATACTAATTGTTAATACTGTGTATGAGAATACTTTTATCTTAAGTAAATTATTTAAATGTATAAATTATAGGTTTAAGTTTTTTAATTGTCCTGATAGAAATCAACCAAAGATCAATTGCCATCCTATTTTCAAGGAATGTGATGTTTCAAAAAAGCAAGATTGCTTATCTTGTTTTGATACATCAAATAGAAGATATTTACCACTATATCAAAATTTATCTGTTTGTGAATATCGACATTTTGACGAGATGATTTATGTTTTGATCATTGCCTTTTAAATTAATTTATTTTATTTAATAATAGCCATAGAAAGAATATTATTGGTATATTTCACAACTATTTTTTCAAAATATTTTGACTTAAGAAGGATTTAGAAAAATTTAAGCAGCGATAAAAGAATTTTATATTGGTTGTTTCTCAACTTTACAGCTTTTTCAGTAAAAATTGCACTCATTTTTTAAAATCAAATTATATTTTCTTCCTTAATCTTTTTTTCTTATCAGAGTATTTCAATTTTACTTAAGTCTCCTTAATTCTTACTCACATTCTTGCAAATTTAAATCAATAAGTGAATCCTTTTCGTGATATCAAATTCTAATGGGATTAATCTTAAATAGTTTAGATAACTAACAGCTGAAGTTGCTTTGCGGAATTCTTATTTTCTTCTTTTACACATATAGCTTTTTTTTTTTCATTTTTAGATCATTGAAAGATTAATATAATATACAGTTGCGATTTATATTATGATAATTTTTTGAGTTCATTTTCTATTTTGTTTCAATATTTTTTAGACTAAACCAAATAATCTTTTCTTATTCTTTTGATAAAAAGTCTTGATCTCACCGTTGATCCTTTTTTTGATCTATAATTAAAAATTTCGACTACTTTTCATAAACTATGTTCTTTATTTTAATCTGACTTGGAATTCTAATAGAATACCATTACTTAATATTTCTTTATTTATCTAGACTTTTATGAGATTCAAATTTTAAGAATTATTTTTATAATAACTCTATGGATTAAGAATTATATTTATAA